ACACCGAGATGGCCACTGGGTGGCGCCCAAGATTGTCTCCAGAGTCAGTGTGTACAATTAACATGACTTTTCACATAACATGCGGGATATTCTTTTTTATATATATATAATATATTTTATTGTTTTTTACAGAGAGGAAGGGAGAGGGATAGAGAGTTAGAAACATCGATGGGAGAGAAACATCAATCAGCTGCCTCCTGCACATCTCCTACTGGGGATGTGCTCGCAACCAAGGTACATGCCCTTGACCGGAATCGAACCTGGGACCCTTCAGTCTGCAGGCTGGCGGTTTCAGTTACCCACAGTTAACTGTGATCCAAAAATATTAAGTAGAAAATTCCAGCAGTAAGCCATTTATAAGTTTTAAATTGTGCAATGTTCTAAACAGTGTGATAAAATCTCATACTGTCCCACTCCTTCCCACCCAGGACCTGAATCCTCCCTTTGTCCAGTGACTCCACACTGTATATGCTACCCGCCTGTTAGTGACTTAGTGGCTGTCTTGGTTCTCAGATTGAATGTTGGGATATCACAGTGCTTGGGTTCAAGTCACCCTTATTTTACTTACTAGCGGCCCCAAAGCACAAGATTAGTGATGCTGGTGATTCAGATAGGCCAATGAGAAGCCATAAAGTGCTTCCTTTAAGTGAAAAGGTGAAAGTTTTCAACTTCATAAGGCAAGAAAAGGAAAATTGTATGTTGAGGTTGCTAAGATCTACGGTAAGAACGATTCTTCAACCTGTGAAATTGTGAAGAAGGAAAAAGAAATTCACGCTAGTTTTGCTGTCGCACTTCAAACTGAAAAAGTTATAGCCACGTGTGTGATAAGTGCTTGTTAACATGGAAAAGGCATTAAATCTGTGGATGAAAGACATGAATAGGGGAGGGAGGGTAAGAGATCAGCCAAACGACTTGTATGCATGCATATGAGCATAACCAATGGGCACAGACAGTAGGGGGGTGAAGGCATGTGCTGGGGGGTGGGATCGTCTGGGGAGATGTCGATGGGGCGGGGGGGAGGAGGAAGGAGACTTGTGTAACACTTTAAACGATAAAGAATTAAAATTTTAAAAAATATATGAATGAAAAACTTGTTTCTATTGACGACAACGTGGTGCTCCACAGAGCATAGAACTTAAACGTCACCTTCAGCAGGGACCCCCTGGAAGGAGTGACACCAAGCTATTTTCTGCCACTAAGGGATGGTCACACAGATTCAGGAATGAAGTCGAACTGAGAAATATAAACATTGCTGGAGAGGCCGTGCCTGCCGATGAAGAGGCAGCTGCCACGTTCCTGGCAGAGTTGAAGAAGTTGATGAGGGCTCGGTACCATCCGTGGTTTCAGACATCCACTGGGACTCGTGAAACGTATCCCCATGGGTAAGGGAGGGGGACCGCTGTATTAGACCAAAACAAATGTTTGGATCCTTTAGTGTTTACGGACCTGAAGGGTTGCCAGTCACCTCATCCGCCAGATAAACATGAACCTAACAAACCGTAAGGGCGGGACGGGAAGGGAGGAGGCGCCCTTGGGCCCTTTCCTCACTGGCAAATAGACTTGGCCCAGTTACCAAAGGGCGAATACCCTTTCTCATGTTATCTCCTGTGAAATATCTCACTCTATAGTGCTTTATCCTTTTATTATATTTGTTTCACCTGTGAGGATAAAATAATGTATCAATGTATTTACATGCATGTTTTTCTTTTCTTTCAAACTTGAGAGGGGGCTCCATAAGAGCAGGCATCTTGTCTGTCTTATTTCCTGGCTTCCTTGTGCTTAAAACAATGGTGGGCACATAATAGGCACTTAATATTTTTCTTCTTTTTAATTTTATTTATTGATTTGGTAGAGAGACAGAGAGAAACGTTGATTTGTTGTTCCACTATGTATGTATTCATTGGCTGATTCTTGTGTGTGCCCTGACAGGGGATCAAGCCTGGAACCTTGGCATATCCCAGCCAGGGGTAAGAATATATATTTTTAAATATATTTTTATTGATTTCAGAGAGGAAGAGAGAGAGAGATAGAAACATTGGTGATGAGAGAGAATCATTGCTCAGCTGCCTCCTGCACTACTCCTACTGGGGATCGAGCACACAACCTGGGCATGTGCCCTGACCAGGAGGTGAAACCAGGACCCTTCAGTCGGTGGCCAATGCTCTATCCACTGAGCCAAACCGGCTAGGGCAAGAGTATTTTTTGAACATATAACAAACAGAGAGAGAAGGAATCGAAGGAACATCAACATCTAACTTTCTAATTAAGACCTCACACCTGTCCCTGTGCTGCTTGTCACCAAAATCTATGTGCAGCTCAAGTCCTTCCTCTTGTCTGAAAGCTCAGGACTAGAAACTACCCATGGATTTTCCTGAAGAAAGGGGAATAAGGAGGAGGAAGGCAATGGAGATTTCCATTTGACTTATTTCTCTGCTGGACTTGAGTAAACTAGGGGGAGACAGGCTGAAGGTCCAACAGCCAGATTCCATGTGTGACCACCGCTGGCCAGAGGCCCTCCTCCATCACCCCCGCAGCCTGGTGGGTCCTGAGTGTAGCCTCTGAATGGCCCCAGAGCAGCACCCGGGAGAGCGGTGATGTTCCCTGCTTCCGCCTATTTGCAGGCACTGTGCCCTGAGGAGTTCCTTCCGTGCTGGCACGTGGTCAAGACCAGCTGACTCTGCCAAAGTGCTCCCAAAAGACGCCAGAGGGAGGCTGATGCTGACCGTGAGTCAGGTATCAGCACTGTAGGCCTTTCCCCCATGGAAGTGACTCCCCACTGAGAATCTGGGACTGCATCAGACTTCTGCAGGAAAATGTTTTCAGGAGGTACCAGACCCTCACTCAGAATAGCTCTAACCTAACCCAGCTGCAGACCTGCTCACTTGCCTCCCAGAGGATGTCCCTCGAAGCCCTATCCTCAGTTCCCCTCCTCCCCCTCAGCTGCTGCCAGCATCCTCACCTTCCTGAGTGCACTTATGGTGGGAACACAGGTGAGGACAGCGGGGAGTGAGGAGAGAGGACGTGTTTTTGGAGAGGAGAGTGAGCCCGCTTGGGGTTCTCCGCCACGTGGTCCCTCAGTCTCCAACAGGCCGATCAGGGAGTGTTCACATTTTTCTAGTTTCCTGAGAGAGAAAGAGGAATCACCAAGGTCTTAGACTGGCCTGTGTTTTGCATGTAGCTGTCTAATTTTCCTAGCACCATTTGTTGAATAGATTGTCTTTAACCCATTGTACCTTCTTGCCTCCTTTGTCAAATATTAATTGACCATAAAGTCATGGTTTTATTTTTGGGTTCTCTATATTCCATTGATCTATATGTCTCTTTTTATGCCAGTACAATGTTTTCAAAAAATATTTTTCTTGATTTGAGAGAGAGAGGAAACATTGATGAAAGAAAAACATCAACATCAACTGGTTCCCTCCTGCACATGCCTTGCTGGGGATCGAGCTTGCAACTCGGGCATGTATCCTGACGCAGAATCAAACCGGTGACCTCTTGGTGCATGGATTGATGCTGAACCACTGAGCCTCACTGGCTGGGCAGTGCCATGCTGTTTTGATTACTATGGCCTTGTAGTATAGTTTGTTACCAGGCAGTGTGATTCCTTCAACTTTGTTCTTTTTTTCTCATGATCGCTATGATATTTGGAAATGTTTGAGGTTCTATGTCAGAAATGTTATTTTCACCATTCATTTCAGGGGAAGGAGATGTCAAATAAATAAAGAAAAATGACATGTGGTGAATGAACTTAGATTCTGTGAGTCTGGAGAGGGACACATTGATGCTGAGACTTACTGGGGGGTGAGAATAGTGAGCAACTCTGAGAACTTGGTGGGTCTGAAACTCCCAGATAAGCTCGGGCTGCCTGTCTCTTTGTCCAATAACAGAGTCAGGGTTGAATCACATAAAGCATTTATTGAGAAGGCCAGCCAACCAAGAATACAGGGTGCTTACAAGCATTCAAATCCTGTCTTCCAGAAAGATTCAGGGGACAGGATTATAAAGGGGAGTGGACTGGGGTATAGAATGCAGCTACATGCAGTCCTGGAGGTTTGAAGACGTCAGCTATCGTCAACAGTTACAGGCTATAAGATGATGTTGATGAGATGATGTTTGACTCCTGGTGGGTGGGTCTAACCCTGCTTAGTGGTTCTGCTTGCTGGATTCACAGCTGAGTCACCTCCTTAATCGCTTCCCACAGGCCCTGAAAAGGAAACTTAAGGAAAACTTAACCCCCTATTCACATATAAGAAACTTAACCCCTATTCACATAAGTATATGTGTTCTAAGATTTAAAATAATATAATTTTTCAGATTAATTCAGGTGCTCTATCAGAGTATAGATCCCCACTATCAGGTCCTGTGTCTGTTCTCAGCCCTTTATATGCATCCAGCCTTTTAATAATCTCAACTACCCCATGAGTTTAAGAATTACAGGGTCCCTGCTTTCCAGCTGGGAAAATGAGGCACTTAGAGGCTATAGTAATTGGCCCCAATTCACTTGGACCACGCTGGCAGCATCTGACAGAGCTGGGATTTGAACCCAGGATGTGTTTGGGCCCAGAGTGAAGCACTGACTACTGTGCTGTCCTGCTCAGGGCCTGATACTAGCACAGCAGCAGGCCTGGTCCTGCACAGTGAATCGGTCCTCTCTGTGACCCCGACACTAATACTGTGCCTGCACTGAGCAGACCTCTGTACCCATTTGCTCACTGCATGACTTATTGTCTCCAGTTTTCAGATGGGAAATGCAGGCTTACATTTGACAAGCCCGTGGTCACGTAGCCCTGCCAGGTTCCAAATCAGCTGCTGACCCTGCAGTGCTCTGCACCCAGCCTCCCACATGCTCATGACCAAGACACTCAGCAGAAAACAAAGTGGCCCAGGAGTCTGCCTCTTCCTCTCTGTTTCTCTCTCATTCACTCGCTCACAATCGGTATCCTTCTCCCTCTTTAGTCATAGATGTTAGGTTGTCAAAGGAGGAACACACAAGGCCAGAATAGCGAGGGATTGCGAATTTATTCGATCATCCACACACCAGGTGGCTGAGCCTGAATGGCTCCAGCACCCAGTGACAGGAGTCAGAGGCCTTTAAAGGACTTTTGGTGGGATTTTTTCTGGGTGGAGACTTCTTTATGCATAACTGGAGGGGGAGATAATGAAATGTGGTCACTAGAAGTGAAATGTGGTCTGAGCAAAGGGAATGACCATAGTGAAATGACCTGAAAAGCCAGTTCCTAGGGGGAGGGGTATCAATTCAATTGCTCAATCAAATCTAACATTCCAGCCTTTTTGTTTATGGAATAGGGATGAAGGTCATATCTTCGTGATTGCTTCCTGCTGAGGTGGGACGTCAAGATCACAGGGGAACGGACTCTGAGAGTAGTGGCTGGATGAGAGTTGCAGAAGCATGATTTTCCCAAGAGACTGGTTGGTGAAGTCTCGAAAGTGGTCCTGTTGAGTGACTTGGGAGGTAAAAGCTGGTCCTGAGGCTGCCACAGCATCACTTGTGTAATTTTGCTGCTTTTCTGGGCCTGGAGCTGAAATACAACTGAGATCTAGACGTTATTTTTAGGGGGGGAAAGAGTAGGGGTCTCCGTTGCCTCACTAGTGATATGAAAGGGGAGAGTAGGTTACCCTGGGGGTGAGGTTCTTGTTTTCCCAGTTTTGCCCCTTGCTGGGCATCCACAGGTTTCTTGTAGGTCCTGAGACAGGATTTCAAAATAGGTAGAGCAGTGGTTAAGTCCCTATGGCAGTTCCAACCCCTGCTGTGATGCCCAGGGTTATTAGGAGAGGGATTATCTGGACTCCTCTTTTGTGTCAGGTATGATGGGTTACAGGGGCAGGTAAAGACTGATTGTTGGGGGCTATGTCTATATTGGGTGAAAGATGAGAGTACAGATTCCTGTCCAGCTGATGGGGAGACAGATTTATGTGTTTTCCCCACAGAAGAAGAAAAATCCCTGCTCATGGAGACAAGCTGAGAAGAGGTGGACTAAAGGGTATGAGGTTCCTTTTTCTAGTTCTGCACTCCACGCTGAGAGGGTAGTCACCATGGCACTGCCAATAAGGGGTGACAGATGAGTGGTTGAGATTTTATTGCAGTGAAAGTGGGAGGTAATGCTAGAATGGGCTGTTATCCAAGGGAAAAGAGAAAAGGAAGGAAAGGAGCAGTTGAGGCCAGGGGCCAGGATGGTTGGATAAGAAGTAAGACACTGCACTCAGACCAGCCAAATTTGTACTTTAAATTTCCTGAGGTGATAATCTGCCACTCACTGGCTTAACTTCTTATTTTTACTGAACCTTAATCCTTGCTGTTTTTACTTTTAAACCTTAAATTGCTGCACGAAAGACTTTTACTTTCTTTCAAGCAGAGCAACCATCTTAGTTGCTGTCCAGGAAAATAGGTAGGAGAGAAACATGTTGACCAATACTACAATGCATACATCTCAAGTAAAAGTAACTTTCTTTTTACTTATGGTGTCTCATTAATGGTGAGATTTAATGCTTCAATAATAACTTTTATTTTACTTGGTAAATAGTAGTGGAAGAGATTTCTACATTTCTTCTTTTTTTCTTTTTTCTTTTTTTTAAGCTTAAATTTACTTCTAAATAGCATTCTTTTTTGGCTAGTGCTCATTTGCATATATATGCAAATTTTACTTTGGACTTTACTAGAACCAGTTGCTCATAAAATATTGGCTTCTCACATGAATGAGTTTATATGAGACCTTGATTATATTGTGAAAAGCTAACTTATCAAGTAATTAAAGTATGCTCCTTTATTGAAAAGCAAAGTAAGCAAACCTATACATTTGACCCATTAAGTACAGATCTCTCCCCCCCACCACCACCACCACCCCAGCCAATCTGAAGAGCAGGCTGGATGGTGGTCTGAGGCATTATGCACACTCTTATCTTTAAATTCTGCTGCTGAATATTCTGGTTTAGTTTAAGAAGAATCCAGCAACCTTGTCCTGCCAGGCTTGGAGGCTGAAACCTTACTTTCTTGATCAGAGTAAACTGGCCCTTTTATATTTCTTGTAAATAGTTAACTTTAGAACTTATTTCCTTCTTTTAACATTTCTCGTTTTCTTCTCATCACATATGCAACCTTCACAAATTTCACACTTTCAAATTAGCCTTCAAACCTTCTTTCTACGTCCTTCAAAAATGCATAACCATGCCTCAGACCTTCCATTAAGTATTTCGACTCTAATATTCTTTCTTTCTGTCATACCTTCAGCAACTTGTACAGACCTTTTATTTCTTTTTTCCTTAAAATATATTAGGATTCTTCACTCTTAGAAACCTTATTTTTTCCATGATAACCAAAAAGTAAACAGCCAACATTTCTTAGATTGACATTTACCAACACACTTCCTATCAAGAAAATATACATTCAACAAAGTACAGGAGACCTTCTGTAATAAAAACTAAGAGCAGGCGAATTAAATTGTGTCTAGCAACCAATGTTTGAGTATTGTATACTATTTAAAAATATTTAGATGTTTATCATTTAACCCAGCAATGCCCCAGCTCCTCAGGGCAGCTTCCACCCTCCCCATTGGAGCTGCAGGAAATATGAGGTGGCTCTGGGGCTGGGTCGTCTCCCCCACAGGGAGGACTATCCACCTCCCACCCTCACTCCTGTCCCCTTGAAGAGAGAAGAACCCTGACCCAGAGGAGAGAGAGGACACTTAGGCCGACTGAGGAGACCCTGATCGCTGTGGGCGGGGGCGAGGGGGGGTGGCTTTAGGAGCAGAGAGACGTTCCTGTGTAATCATTCCTCAGCAAGTTGCCTCAGGAAATTCAGAAAGAACACATCTAACCCCACCAGAATCTAGGACATGGTTTTATCACTTGAAAACTATGCCACCCACCCATTTCCTCTCATATCTTAGGGTGCATGCCTTTAGCCAGATGTTCCAAGGTTCCAATAGGATGGCCGGGTTGTCCCTCATAAGCTGCAGAAAATGAAAGAGATGGAGACTGAGCAGTTTCGGAGAGATGCAAGGATGGAGAGGGATGGGAGGTGCAGGACTGGGATCCATATTCAGGAGGGCCCCAGCCTCCAGAGTTCATCCCTGCCTTAACCCCTTGTCCTGTTGTCATCTTGAGTGAGGCAGGTCCTTACTTGGGACAGACTCTGGAGATGGGAGAGGTAGGGCACTGTGACTTCATGCCTAGAACCTTCAGTCTCACAACAAATCTCTTCTGGGGGCCAAAGGACTCGGGACAGCAGAGCTCAAAGCAGGGCCAGAACGTGCAGCCGGGGCCACAGAGGTTGGTCCGGTTGAGGGGCAGGATGGTGTCATGATCACAGCATTTCTCCGTGGGGTTGTACATCTGGTTCCCGCATCTGGGTGCTCGCTGGCACAGCCACAGGCCGGAGTTCATGTGGGCCCCTGGAGACAAATTGCTGGTGACTTCAAGGAGAACCAGGCACTATCCCCATCCCCTGAATCAGGAACCTCTTTAAACCACTTTCCAAGGGCAGTCTCATCCCTCTTCACTCTTTCCACCCTGCACTCACCTGACTTTAAGCACAGGAGGAGGAGGAGGAGGAAGACTAATATGCCGATGAAACCTGGAGAAGAAGGAAGGAGGATTAAGGCCGAGGCTGGGGTTGTGGACCCCAGGCAGGGCAGGCCAGTGTGGAGAAGGCTTAGTTCCAGATTTGTTTTAAAGATTTGAGTTCGGGATCATCTCTACGTAGGGTCTAGTTCAGCCGTGGGCAAGCTATGGCCCAAGGGCTGGATCCGGCCCATTTGAAATGAATAAAACTAAAAAAAAAAAGACTGTACCCTTTTATGTAATGATGTTTACTTTGAATTTATATTAGTTCACACAAACACTCCATCCATGCTTTTGTTCCGGCCCTCCGGTCCAGTTTAAGAACCCATTGTGGCCCTCGAGTCAAAAAGTTTGCCTACCCCTGGCTAGTTCCTGACACAGGTAAGAGTCCAGAAGTCTGGTCCTAAACATACTGGATCCCTTGAGGGGAGAGAATGGGGGGAGGGGGAACTCTTTGAACCATATGTTATAATAGTAAGAATGCAGTGAAGTTTCCCAGTTGGCAGAAGGGCAGAGCAGGTATTAAAGGTATCAATAAAGTGATTTGGAAGGATGAAGGAAGCTGAGGTTAGATGGGGAGAGAATTGGGGTGCATGGTTGCTTTGGGGGGTATGATTTGGTTTGACTTGGTCTTGCAGTTGGAGCTCTCCTGTATTTCAGCTTCTGGGCACCATGACTGCGGATGAAGTTTGAGAGATGAAGTTCAAAAGGATGGACATGAATGTTTTTTATAGATGCAAAAACATGACTATAATATAGGTTAAAGCATAAGTTACCTAAAATGATACCGAAAAAGCATTTGACAAAAACTACATTTTTATACTTTTAAAAACCCCAACATAGAACAAGCTGTTAATAGAAAAGGACCTCCTCAACCTGATGAAGGCTACCCACAGTAAAGCTCACAACATATCATACTAAATGGTGAAAGATTGAAGTCTCTCCCTTTAACATCACGAGCAGGACAAGTATGTCCACTCTCACCACTCTATTCAACATAGTAGGGGATGTTTAAGTCAGAGAAAATAGGCTAGAAAAGAAAGAAAGTGCATTCAGATTGGAAAAGAAGTAAAAATATTTCTATTTGCAAATGACATGATCTTATATATTAAAAATTCTAAGGAAGCTACCAAGACCCAACAGAAAAAACAGAAATTCAGCAAGGTTGTAAGATACAAGATCAACATATAAAAATCAATTGTATACACTAGCAAAGACTATTTGAAAATGAAATTAAGAAAATAATTCTATTTACAATAGAACCCAAATTAAATACTTAAGAATAAACTTAACAAAAGAAGTGCAAATGTTGTAAACTGAGAACAACAGAGCATTGTTGAAAGAAAGTGAAGAGAATACATAAACTGTAATGCATCCATGTTCATAAATTGGAAGACTTCAGAAATCAACAAACTGATCCTACAACTTGCATTGAAATACAAAGGACCTGAATTGCTAACTAACTAACTATGATTCAACAAAGAAATCACTGCTCAACACAGACCCATGCCTGAGGAAACCAGGCATTGAACCATCTAAAAGTGGGCAACCAAGAATAAACGGGGAGAGGAGAAGGGAGGAAAGTGCAGAAGGCCCAGAGAAGCAGCCCTGCAGCCAGAAGCTCATGGCTGGACCTGGAGAGGGAGGAAGCAGTATGTATCAGGAATTCCCTTTGGCTGGAAGGAACAGAGAGCTGCAAGGGGCAGCCCAGCAGGGCCAGTGCCAAGGGAGCAAATAGTGTCTGAGTTGCCTGACAGAGCTCTCAGGTTCTGCCATGTGGCTCTCCACTGTTGGCAGGGTGGTGGTGTTCAGACAAAGAAATGGAACCACAGAGCTCTTGGATGCCCAAACTCTCCTCCCGTTGCCCTTGGAGTTAGGCCCAGGAGCATATTACCTATAAGCCAGAGAGAGGGAGAGAACAGATGACATATTGACCCAGAGATGGGTGATGGGAAACTCAGCAGAGACTGATGCACCAAATGCCATCCCCTGCCCTGCCCACAGCCAGAACTGGACTCTTACCTGGCCACAGATCCTGCTGAGGGGGGCAGCAATGCAGTTGGATTTAGTGCCTGGGACCTTAAACCTGACAACGGCCCTATTCTGAGAGCCCCAGGACTCAAGGCAGCAGTGCTGGAAGCAGGGCCAGAAGGTGCAGTTAGCACCACAGAGGCGGGTGTGGTTCAAGGACAGGACGGTGTCCTCATCACAGCACTGCTCCAAGGGGTTGTAGATCTCGTCCCCACACTTGGGTGCTGGATAGCACATCCACAGCCCAGTATCTGAACAAGCCAGAGCAGAATGAACTCCAGGACCGGTCTTAGACCTTGGGAGCCCTCGTCCCTGCACCATTCTCACCTGTGAGTCCTTCTAAGTCTGAGAACAGGAGTTCAAAAATGAAGACGGCAGCTGAGAAGCAGAAGGGGAATGAGAATAATTCTGGAGAGTAGCCTTCTGGTCACTATTGTGGGGCCCAAGATGATCCCAATGAGCTTCTTTCATTGTCAACAGCTCAGAGTGGATTTTGAGATGGACTCTGGGTAGCAGGGAGGGCTCTGAGAAGAGCTAAGATTCTGAAATTTGCAGATTGGGGGAGAGATTGTAATGCAGTCAGACATGTCACAGGGGTGGGGGTTATAGGATGGGAAGCCAAAAATTGACTAGGAAAGAGAATTAAGTGTGAGGCTCAGAGGTACAGTATGGGTGTGATAACACATACGCTAGACTTGGGGCTGGTGCCCTCTTACCAAAGCTTCTGGACACCATGGTTCTTGATGACCCTCAGAGTAGTTGATGGCAGAGCAGCAGGAGGACTGGGTGTGGGACCGTAGACTGTGACTTATATACTCACATTACAACAAAAGGTCAGGGCTGCCAGAAAGAGAGTTGCATGGAGTCATAGTTGCATGAAGAAAAAAAAACGCATTTTAATTAATTATCCCTGAACCAGTTCCAACTGATTTCCATCTTCTCAGATATCTCAAAGCCTCAGTGTGAATATTACTTAAGATCCATTCCAAGTTGTGATGTGTTTTTATTTGAACACGGCTCAAAGGAAACCCAGTTAGCAAAGACTCATTGACACATCACTCACCAAATGCTGGCTCGTCCTAGCACATAATCCACCTTGAACATAATCCACCTCCAGACCTGCACTGTCTATAATTCTTCTGAGTTTTTAAAGGGAAATTATGAAGTTGCAGTGTGATCTAGAAGAAGAGAAGGGACTGCAGAAACTCTGGTAGGGAGAATAAGAAAGGAAAAAGTAGAGATCTCTGGGATTCATAAAACTGACTGAAAGAGCACCTTGTAGAGTGCCTGGTCCAAGGAAAGGCTCCATCCAGGTTTCTCACTGTTATTGTATTGCATCATCACTGTTGCCACGGCCCCTCTGTCTCTGCTGGCTCCCTTCCATGTCACAGTGAGTAGGTTAGGAAGATGAAAGAGAGGAGGCAGAGACTTTCAGGCCTGGTAAAGCTCATGGTTAGTGGAGGGACTCCCTCCCCTTAAGTGTGTGTGCAGTACTTCCTCATGGGTGGTCCATGCATTCACCTATGTTAGCCCTCCTCTCTTAATTTGGCAGGCGTCTGCGTGGGTTGGTATATACATTGGCAGGTTTCCATAATGCAATGGTCCTCAACCTTATGGCCCTTTAAATACAGTTTCTCATGTTGTGACTGCAACCATAAAATTATTTTCGATGCTACTTCATAACTGTAATGTTGCTACTGTTATGAATTGTAATGTAAATATCTGATATGCAGGATGGTCTTAGGTGACCCCGGTGAAAGGGTCGTTTGACCAACCAAGGGGTCGTGACCCACAGGTTGAGAACCGCTGCCTTAATGTGTCCGACTGCCCAAGCACCTGACAGGAGTCCCACCTGTGGATACTCACCTCCCATTTACACAGCACAGCTGCTGGGGCACAGACCTCTTTCCTAAATGAATGAGCTTGGTGCTTTATTCATAATTCTCAACCTACAGGCAAGGAACTCCTGACTAAAATAGAAAGCCCTTGATAAACAGCACAACTGACTTTGAAGCAAAATCATAAGGTATTACTAGAGGACTTCATATCTGTATAATTAATTTATCTACATAGAAATCCCATGGAAGCTATTGTCGAGCCAGAGTCAAAGCTGATAGATTTAGCCAGTCACAAGACAAGGAGCCCTTAGAATTTTTTTGATTATTTTTTATTTTTTTAAAGAATAGTTTATTGATTTTATTTTATTATTATTATTATTATTATTTTTTAGAGAAAGGGGAAGGGGGAGGGAGAGAGAGAAACATCAATGTTAAAGTGCAACATCAATTGACAGGCCCCTAATGGGGATGGAGCCCGCAACCCTATAAATGCCCTGACCAGGAATCTAACTGGCAACCTCCTGGTGCACGGATGACACTCACCCAACTGAGCCACACGGGCCAGGCCCATCAGGCCCTTTTAGAGTCAGACAGTTTCATACGTACATAGACAACGAAAGTAAGACTGGCCCCAGGTGCCAGCTGCCCCTGCCCCTTGCACAGGGTGGTGCTCAAAGGGGCCAGGTGACTGCAGCAAGGATGGCAGGACCCTGATGCTGAGGAGAGAATGCCATCTGTATCTAAGCAGTTGTGTAGCCTGCAGCTCAACCCCATGGGTGAGAGGTAGAAGCCTCAGACCCGGCATCACTGGGAGACGACAAGGAGAAAGGCTCTTAGGACAGATTCCCTGAGGGATAGAGAAGCAGTGAGAACAGTGTTGTGGCAGCTCTTCCTAAGCCTCCCAGGCTCTCCTGTCCCAGGAGGGTTAGACTGTCCCAGCAAGGTTAAGGTTAGCCTCACCCAATCCTGGCTTATTGTGGCATACTCAGACACATGAAAGGACCATCGCCTTAAACCCACCAAAAAAATCCTGGAAGTAGTCATTGAAATTGGGACGGTTATAGGATAAAAAGTCAACACACACAAAATTATGTTTCTATTCACTAGCATTAACAATGGGAAATTAAAATTTATAAACAGTACCATTTATCCCTCCACGGAAATACTTAGGGATGAGTCTAATAAAACATGTACATAATGTATATGAGGAAACTATAATTAATGAATGAAAGACATCAAAGATGAACTAAATAAATGGGGAGATGTTTACATTGTGATTTGGAAGATGCAATATAAATATAGTTAAGATGTCAGTTTGTTACGGGACAGGGTCTGGGTCAGGGGCGGGTCTGCCTAGGGTCCACTGCTAATATGTGGGTTCTTGACTTCGTGTAGGAGAGATTTCACAACAGGAGTCCAGGTGGCTTTGAGAGTATGTTTATTAAAGCTGGAGATAGTGCAACAAAGGGAGGGCTTAAGGTAGAAGAAGCAACAGGAGAGGAAAAGTCAAAGGGGGCCTTCAAAGGGGGCCTTGGAGACAGGGTCAGAGGCTTAGCCCAGGTCGAGCTGCCTCTGCAAACTGCTCCCCTGGCTGCACTTCTCGTGAGTCCATTGGGGTTTAGAAGTTGCGTGCCTCTGGGGGGAGAAGTCCAGGAAGGGAAAGGTGCCACTGTGCTCCCAGGAGGGAGAGCGAGGTCTGGATCCTTTGTCTTGAAGCTTTTAAAAATTTTAAATCCTCGCCTGAAGATATTTTTTCCATTGATTTTTAGAGAGGGGTGGGGGGCAGATAGAGACAGAAAGAGGGAGAAACATTGATGTGAGAAAGACACATGAATTGGTTGCCTCCTGCACTCACCCTGACTGGGACTGGGCATCGAACTTGTAATCCAGCTACTTGCCCTTGATTGGGAATCAAACCCTCAACCTTTTGGTGTGCAGGCCGAGACTCTAACCACTGAGAAACACTGGCCAGGGCTGTCTTGTAGCTTTTTCTCTTCCTTTAGCTGGCTGGAGTCCAAGAGAGGTCTTGGTGGGTCTTAACAGAATATACATTAGCTTTTCAGGTGTGCATACACACTCTTGGGCATTTACCCCAGAGAAACAAAACCTTATGGTCCCACAAAAATTCTGTGAGTGTTTATAGCAGTTTTATTTGTAAAAGCCCCAAACTGGAAACAACCCTAATGTCCATCAACAGATGAATTGATAGGTAGGTTGTAGAAATAAACTTAAAATGGACACTACTGAGCAATATAAGCAAGGAACTATTGCTACACCCAACAGGTTGGACAGATCACAAAGCCATTATGCTGAAAAGAAGCCAGTCTCAGAGATTACAGACAGAGTAATTCCATTGATGTAACATCTGGGCGAAACCATAAAGATTGAGAACAGGAAGTGGTTGCCAGCAGATAAGTGTGGGTGGAAGGTGTGACCACAAAAAGACTTCTTGAGGGTTTTCTTTTGGGGGTAGGGGAGAAACTGTTCTGAGATGAGCAATATCTGCAGTGCTGACAAGTCAGAGGACTTTGGGACTGCTGTTATTGCTGGGAGTGGTCACTCCCTACTCCCTACTTCCTACCTGGAAACATCACACAACCAGTTCATTTATGAGGTTAGATAAAATTCCCTCTGCTTTTGCAGGGTGTTATTCACTATGTAATTTATACTGTGAATGTATTTGTTAGGCAGATTCGAGAAGATCAAGCCAAAAGAGATACATCAATCAAAACTGTTGAAATGTGCAGCGTGTGAGTATCTGAGGCAGGAGTCGGGGCTGCAGGACAGTGAGTCCTCCGTCAGCTGTTCTCTGACTGGATTGTGCCTGGTGCTTGTTCATGGTGAGAATTCCCTCTCACCTTGCCTGCACCTCCCTGAGGGGTGAGCCCTTGGGTGGGCTGAGGCTCTAACCACTGAGCTCTGATTACTCAGATACAATTTAGAGGACATCGTTAGTGACTGTGATGCATTTCATTTGCATGTAGTTTACATTACCGCCCACACTGTTATTTTCTTTTCCAAGGTTGGCCATTTGCCTACAGCAACATATTTCCACCAACTCAGTTCCTGAGCACAGCACACACACACTATCTCCCAGCTCTGCAGGCCCAAGTCTTGGGATCAGTCTCACTGGATGAAAGCCAGGTGTCTGCAGGGCCAGGTCCTTCTGGAGGCTCCAGGGGAGAAGCGTGCCCTTAGCTTCTCCAGCTTTTAGGCTGCATCCCTTGGCTTCCTCCATCTTCAAAGCAGCGTAGGATCTTCAGATTCTCTCTCCCATGCTGCTTCTTGGTGAAAGGAAAAGGCCACGTGTTTCTGCTCTCACAGTGTTGTTCTTACTTCAGGTGCCCGGAGTCAATATGGAGTTACTTGTTGACATCTAAGTACAGTGGCTGTTCCCCCTGCTTATATCATGTGTGACCCTTGATGGACTCTTAGACTTTTAAAGAGTATTTTTGGTGATATTTGGAGGCAATTACTTGAGATTGTTAAATCAGCTAGGTAGGAATCATTATTTTTTTCCAATTCATAGGATCCTCAAAGTTAGGAAATGTGAATTTTGGAAATGTGAATACTGGATTGTGTCTGGTGGTTGTTTGTACCTGGTGAGCATTACCTGGCTAGTGTTGCTCAGTGGTTGAGTGTCAACCTATGAACCAGGAGGTAACAAGTTCAATTCCCAGTCAGGGAACATGCCCAGGTTGCAGGCTCGATCCCCAGTGTGGAATGTGCAGGAGGCAGCCCATCAGTGATTCTCTGTCATCACTGATGTTTCTATCTCTCTCTCTCTCTCTACTTTCCTCTCTTAAATCAATAAAAATATATTAAAAAAAAATAGGATCCAAGTTCCTGTGCTTGGAAACATTTCTATGCAACTTATTAACAGAAATGGACTCATTTGGATCATAAGGAACATGCCCGCAGCCCCAGTTCTCGTGGTATCTCTGCAGGTGTTTTCTTTATTGATACTTACAGTCCTGACATCAGGATGGCTGGTATTTCACTGAGCTTGAAGAGGACACTGAGCTCTGGGAGGTTAAGTCATTGGACAAAATCCTACTTATAAGTGGTGCAGTCAGACCTCTGATGTCATGGAAGGAAATTATGAGCATACTAGTCCCAGTGCATAAATTCATGCACATTGGAAGGAAATTAATCAGAAGAAATATTGTAATATCACTATTCACCCTTTCTCTGTAATAGAAGTGTCAGAGATGAAAGAAAATTAGTAAAATGTATATGAAAATTATATATATATGAATTGATTAATAAATAAACAATAACAACATGATATAACAACAACAAAGACATGATATAAAAGAACAAAAACATAATATAAAAACATAAAAAACATGATATAAAAACAACATTGATAAAAACAATGACTGATGAATTGATTAAACTTATTCTAACACTGAGGCCAGTGTCAGATGGGGACAAATCAATTCTTGGAATCAGAAAACAACCTCTCCTCAGCAGATCCTGTTAATACTTCACCTTCGATTATGTTAGGTTGCAGGTTTTTTTTATAATAAATCTAGTATCATTCCAGAGACCCCATTTACTATTAAGATTTCTCAGTAGCATGATGATTGCACGTACTTTCAATTCTAATTTATGACACGGCATTCTCAAAGGAATAATACTTTTAAGAAATTTGATGGGAAAGATTTCCTTTTTGGCATCATCCATTGAATCTAGTATTATTGTTGATTAGACTGTCATCTCTGAGTCTTAATGCAATATCTTTTTCACCATGTGGGAAAAGAATAGGATACGTCATTGCATCTAATGTAGGAAACAGGATACTGACTTGTTTCATTTTAGTGGCATTTGGTTTATCTGGATCTGGTTTACAATGAATAAATCCCTTTGAAAAGGAGGTCCTCCATCTTTGTTTCTGAATATGACAGCAACTTCGGTTACACAGGGATAATTATATCTACTTGGATCACTATTATGATCATATTTAATCGTCATTGTTACTTCCGGGTGATACCACCGCTTTCTTTCAGCTTCAGAATGTCACCAAAAACAACCAAGTTCAGGATCGACAATAACAGAATGAAACACACACGTGCAATTGGTGCCAGAGAGAGCTTTATATGTATCGTGCATGTGCGCATCAACTTAGCCTTTCATAGATATAGAACAAACTTGCTTAATTAGACCTGCTTTCTGATGCAGCTAAACTTTTTCCAGCCCAGTGAAGCACCCCAACTTCTCTTTAGGTAACTGTCAGCAACACAGCAGTAAATATCAACACAAAGCAGGTTATTATTGTAGATCACACAGGGAGAACACAGGGTGAAGTATATAACTGCAGCAGTGTTTGACTACATTCGGCTTAGTGAGAAAACCTGAAGTCATTTTCAAGATCCATCATTTCTTCTTTTCAGTCGGGTCAAGTTTCTAAACTTTCTAAATCTCCATTTTCTGGCTGATGAAAATAAAATAGGATTCCACTGAGTCTCCTATCTACCTACTCTAGGACTTGTGTGAGGATTGTAAGAATAAAACTGCCCATGCCTAAAAGCTGCCTGTTCTATCTCAACTGCCCAGGCTTCCCCCGTCAGTGATAGGAACAAAGCCCTTAAGGCTGTCTGAGGAAACAGCCCAGACACAAAGAGCAGGCTGAGTAAGCCGGGCTCCGATCAACCGTTGAGATAAACAGGATGTGAAAACACCAGGCAGGGTGATGACTAAATCTCAAGCCCTGTCAAGACACAAACCAGTCCCCTTTGGAATTCCTTTGTTCTCCTCTTTCCTTTCTGTATGTGACCCCTCCCAATGTGTGAATTTTTGCCTATATATACTTGTAAGAATTTCTGCTCGGGGCCCAACTCCTCTGCTCCTGCGTGAGTTACTAGTTGAGCCCCAGCGAGCTGGAATAAAGCCTCTTGCGGTTTGCATCAAGAGACGTCTCCTGCGGTTGATTGGGGTCGCCGTCGATCTGTGGGAAAGAGTGAGGGTCTCTCTTCGGGGGTCTCACAGGATCAAATGAGATGAGGCAAGGGAAAATGCATCAAAGACATTTGGTGACAGTGTAAGCTGTTTCCACCTGAGGCTAGGCATTGCTAGGGAGAGGAGTCCAGTGTTGCTACTTGATGTCATTACATAGATAGTCAGACACTTAACATTTTAGTCTTTTGTAATGACAGATTATTTAAAACTATGAAGGGGCCACAGCTAGAAACTGGTAACAGCATTGGACTTACAAGTGCAAGTGGGATGGAGTTCGAAGAGGAAAGGGAGAATTTTATTTTTTCTTAAAAAAACATGTGCTGGAAGTTTTGCCTTATATATGCATGTCTCCGAAATTTTAGAAAGAATCCAGGCTAGGCCAGTAACCAGGAGCGTCACCGCCTGGCATGCTCAGCAGGATGGCCGAGGTGAGCAGGGGTGCTGTGGGCAGATGGAGTGGGTCCTCATTCTATCACGGGTGATACGGAATTTTTGGACTGGAACCTGGATTCTCTGTCTGCCGAGTCAAAGAATGAATCCATGAACAGAGGGTAGTGTAGCAAAGGTGGAGATTTATTGAAGAATAAGTACAGACTCCCACGTGGGGAAAGGGAAAGGGTCCCACCGACTTCCTGTTTCCATGGTTTATAAAGGCTGTAGTTCCTGTGTCCTGATATCCCCTCTGATTGGCCAATATTCCCTTTCGAATTGGTTACTATAGTGACTCCTGAGGCCCTCCTCCCTCATTGCTCTTCTATTCCTTTTGGGCTTTCTTCCTTCTTCTTTATTTTGTAAATATAGACTTTTTTGGCTACTTCCAGTTCCCTTGTCTTATGGAAATGTAACTGCACCAGGCTTCCTTGTGTTATGGAAATGTACCTTCTCCCCCTCTGTAGCCCTATGTTTTTTTCCATGGATCCCAATTTTTAAAATTCCCTAAACCTGTCCATGTTCCCCTAAAATTCCTGTTTCATGGTGGGGGGGAGGGGGAGGGCGGAGACAGAATGCAGGATGGGAAGGTGGGAGGAGGAGCTGCCTGAGCTGAGCCCTGATGAAGTAACTTTTTCAGGTGATGGGCGGAGGGCTGCAAGCAGAGACACGCAGGGGCCAGGCTTGGAAGCCTGTTGGGGAATTGCAAGAGAGGCTGTTGGGCGGGGGATGGAGGCCAGGGCTGCTGTAGGAGCTGCAGAGGGGGGAGCAGGGCAGGTCATGCCACCTTGCTGGGCACACTAGGGAGTTGGGTTTCATCCCCAAGGCATTGAGGATTTCCAGCCTGAATTCCAAATGAGGTCACAACAAGGCAGTGATTCCCTGGATCACAAGTCCGCTCCCTATTACTATCTCAATCGTTCACTTGTTTCTCTGTTACAATATTGTTTGTTGGTGTTGGTGACAGATTCCATGCGTTTCTTGCATTTCTGCACGTCTTGCACTGAAGCACTGACGTTTTTTCTTCCACCTTCTTTTCACGGAAGTTTGCACAGCAAGCAAGTCAAACTCAAAGGCTAACACCGGCCAAATAAACAAGATTTAAGTGTATGTGGGCCGCAAAAAAACAAAAGCTTCAATTTTCATAGAAACATATGTTTATTTCGCAAAGTATAGTATAAATAAAAAAGAACAAGAGCAATGATAAAATTAATGTTTCTTATGTTTCTTCCTGTCACTTGGCATCCCCTCTCTGCTACTATCGCTCCTACTTGGGGGGAAATCTTGTTGGCAGTGATCACTTTCAAAACTGACCCAAGGTGAGTGTCAGTAATTCTGGATCTGACAGGAGACTTATTTCCTTTTATAATTATAAATAACTGCTGTCATGGTAAGTACTTCCAAACATGGAAATAATTCCAAACATGCGAATTTTCGAGTATTTTCAAACCTGGCAGGTAAATATTTGTAAAATTCAGGCACACCAACTTCACTGAATTTTGCCTTCAAATCTGAATCGCACTGGATCTCAATTACTTCCATTTGCATTTGATTAGATATTGATTCTATATTTATTGAAAATATAGAAGAAAACAAAGAAAACTTGTCTTCTAAAAATTTAAAATCTGCAGACCTTGTTTCAAATTCAGTTCTAAGGCTTAAATTTTTTTTCTGCATATTTTTGATACGATGTAGTTTCACCTAGACTTGATTTGTTCATGTTGCATGTCGGACAGTGCATTAAATCACCGTTTTTCAACAGCTTTTCCTAAAGAACAGCTTACATTTGAATGCTTTGACTTGGTCACACATGTTTGTAATAATCTTATCTTTTCCTTGCAGTTTTAAGTTTAAATCATATAAGTGTTTTGTTATATCAGCCACGAGTGTTTTGTTAAAGCTTGCAACCATATTGTGTGAAAAAACAGGCTTGTGCCTTGATTTTTAGTTATTAAGAACTGACATCTTTCAAGTCCCAGAATCGTCTAAGAATCTTGGAGCAGGATAGCCAACGTACCTCGGCATAGTAGGTGTGGACGAAAGGGGCCACATGCTGACCCGACAAGCTCAGGAGAGGCCTGCATGGCAGTTTTGCAGACTCGGAGACCTAAAGTAACCACAAAGGATGGTCTGAAATTAAACCTTAACTAAAAGCAGTGATGGTGGGCAGTTACGTCCTAAGCCAATATCTTCACTGATAAGGTCAACCTTTACTGTAACTGAGCCTATCTGTCTTTTTGCATCTATGATAACATGTCCCTGGGATGTCTGGGTAACTTGTGATTTCCCTGTATCTGGAGCCCCTGGGGCACAACCAGGTGTGCTAAGCCCAGGACAGATGCAGCAGAGTCTATCATTTATCATGTTAATTGTTCCTGCACCCACCTAAGTATGTGTCCATCATTTTACTTTTTATCCTATCACAGAGGTTTCCCCCACTTCGCTTAATCCCACCTCCTTAAATGTGTCACCAATGAATTTCATGTATAAATACGAATGTAACCCTGCCATTCTCCGGAGCACTATCTCAATTCGTTGAGGTTCTGCTTCCCGGCATATGTCGACAGTTTGGCTCAAATAAACTCACAAAAATTCTTTACAGGTTTCAATGGTTTTTTTATGTTAACATAGGACAAGTTGGAATATTCACTAATTCACTTAAGAAATCAGAGAAATTCAGAGGGAAGGTAGGGTAGGGTGGGGGTAAGGAGGAGAGAGCAACCAAAGGACTTGTATGCATGCATACAAGTCTAACCAATGGACACAGACACCAGGGCTGTGAGGGCATGAGGGTGGGGGGGGGGGTGAGGGTGTAATGGGGGGATAAGGACACATAGGTAATACCTTAATCAATAAAGAAAAAAATTATAAGAAAAAGCAGAGAACTGTCGCTGATTTAAACTTTGAGATCTTATGAAATTTATATATTTTTTGATAGGTATCAACACATTTTCCATGTTTATTACCTTTGTGCATAAACTTCTTGATGTATAATGCAATGCATATGATGAATCTTGGATCCATCATAAATTTCCCTTTGTTTTTTGCAGTAATGCCTGTTAAGTTCGTGACGCAGAAAAAGAGAATCGAGCCTGTCAGAAAAGGGAAAAGAAAAGGTTTTAATCCATGTTCTTGGGCGAGCCCCACGAGCCCGAGACAGGGCCAGTGAGTTTGAGCCAGGGGTGGGCAAACTTTTTGACTCGAGGGCCACAATGCGTTCTTAAACTGGACCGGAGGGCCAGAACAAAAGCATGGATGGAGTGTTTGTGTGAACTAATATAAATTCAAAGTAAACATCATTACATAAAAGGGTACGGTCTTTTTTTTTTTAGTTTTATTCATTTCAAATGGGCCAGATCCGGCCCGTGGGCCCTAGTTTGCCCACGGCTGGTTTGAGCCAACAGGGAAGGGGAGCTCCTTTTTTATACAGGTGTTTAATGAGGGGTGGGGGGCACGAGCTGAGGAAGTCCCCACCGTGGGGGTCAGCACAGTATTCAGCTGAGGAAGTTCCTGCCATGGGGATCGGCATGGTATTCAGGAAGGAGTCAGTATCTGTGTGGGGGTCGTTGTGGATTCCAGAGAGGAGCCGGTATCTATGTGGCCATGTGTCTGGCACGCTGACCTGTTAGGAATTCCAGGGAGGGACCATTATCTTCATAACCATTTGCTTTGCCGGGGCATGCATCCACTCCTGCGCTTCTCTTCGACCTAACATCCCGGCCTTTTGGTGATGGGGGCATTGGTTCCTTCTGACCACTTCCTGCTGACCAGGGATGACGAGGGAGGGGGATCTTTAAAGGCCAGGGTCAGGCAGAGGCGAGTCGGAGGGCAGCCGAGTGTAGGGATGGAGCAGGAGCTGGTTTACATTCACCAGTGACATCTCCGTGATCCGGGACCGGATGAACTTGAGGAGGCAGGGGGCTAGGAGAAAAAAGACAGATGAGAATCAGGGGCCCTATCATGGGTAGGACCCAGGTTGCTAAGGGGCTTTGGAACCAGCAGAAAAGAGAGTTTTCCTGGGAAGACAGAGAAGGTAGCCCCTGTGTCGACCAGGAAGGAGACCTGCGTACCCGCTACCTTTTAGTGTGACCCTGGGCTAGGCGAGGGTAATGGGAGTCATTGAGTCCAGGCTCCTTCAGTCTTCGGCCAGTCCCAGCATGGCCAGCGGCAGGTCATGACCTGGAAAGGTGGCCCCTCCATTCTGGGGTGCAGAGGGCCCGCCACTTTTCCAGGGGCAGTCACTTTCTCAGTGGCCACTTTGACCGCATGCCAGGCAGGACTTGGTTGGAGCCCGGGGCCAGGAGCACTGCTTTGCCCAGTGGCCTTCATTTCTGCATTTGACGCATTCTCCGGGTGGCGTTCGTCCTCTCGTTGCACCCCCATGGCGCACAGCCCCCCTGGGGCCATGGGAGGCTGCCTGCGTTGGCCGCAGGGCCACAACCAAAGCCTGGGTCTGCAGGTCTACCTTCTGTTGAAGGCGGGCCTCCCAATCTGACTCTGCCTTCTCCTCACGGGCATCAAAAACCTTAAAGGCCATGTTCACTAGATCTTGGACTGGGGTCTGAGGGCCATCCTCCGCCTTTTTTAACGTTTTTCGAATATCTGGGGCTGACTGCGAAATGAAATGGGTGGCTAAAACTGTTGCTCCAGCTGGATACCCAGGGTTCAGACGAGTATACAAGGTCAGAGCCTCAGTCAGCCTGTTAAGGAAGACCGCGGGGTTCTCATCTGGGCCCTGAGTGATTTCTCTGTTTGTTATAATTAACTACCTTGTGGGAGTTGGCCTGTAGGCCGGCCATCAGGCATTGGAGCATCTGGTCTTGGCGGCTGCACCCGTTTTGCCCTTCGGGGGTACCTAGTTGATACTCCCAGCCTGGCTCCTGGCGAGGAATGGCCTGGGCCCCCACCAGCATATTGGCATCTGTAAGGTGAGCCTGATCTGCGTGGTCCATTGCTGCCCCCAAGACTCTGTCCCTTTCATCTGATGTTAGGGCGGAAGAAAGAATAACATGAATGTCATGCCAAGTGAGGTCATAGGCCTGAGAGAGGTATCAGAATTCTTTGATGAACTAGGTGCAGTTGGCGGAGAAGTACCCCAGCAGCTTCTCAATCTGGGAGAGATCCAAGAGAGAGAATGGGATGTGGAATCTGACCACTCCCTCTGAGGCTGCAACTTCCCTGAGAGGACAGAGAAGAGGAGGAGCTTGAGAACACCTGTGTTTACTGACTGGGGAAGCAGGGGGCGTGGAGGAGGAGCAGTAGCCTGGCTGCTTGAGCTTCTGGCTCCTGCAGCGGCTGTGGGGGTGGGGGAGGGTGGGGTCGCTTGACCAGTTGAGCTTCAGGCTCCTACAGAGGCTGCAGCAGTCGGTGGAAGAAGGGGGAGGTCAGCAGGTAGAGGAGAAGGTATTGCCGAAGGCGGGGTAGCAGAGAGAGGAGGAGAGGGTGCAGATGGCAAAGAGGAAGGTGCTTTGGGGAAAGGGTCTGGGTAGGGAGGCAGACGAGTCGGAGGGGAGGAAAGATTTTTGGGGGGTTCAGATAAGGAGGAAAGTGAAGAAGTTTCAGTGGGCAGTGTTATGCCCAGAATTCAAGATCCCCAAGAAACCATGCCAGGGAGTCAGTCCGATGCAAAAGCAGAAGGTCCTTTATTGAGTTAGCTAACCCCACCCGGGCCTCCAGTCGACGCAGCGACCGGAAACCGAGTGAGACCCATGTGAAAATCCGGGCTTTCATAGTGAGGGGAGGGGAGCTGGCTGTGGCCCTGCCGATTGGCCAGGCGCAAGTCGGGTCTTGTTACACAGGATGTGGTCATCTCTATGGCGCGCACATCCCTTGCTTGTCATTGGTTAGTTCAAAGAAATCCTGGGCGTGGCCAGCAGGGGCCTGGGCTCGGGAAGAAGGCACTTTTCTGAGCACATGGCCTCTGCCCCAACATGGAGGATCCAGGGTAAGATGGAGGGCGTAGCCCTCGCCCTTTCAGGCAGAGTAGGTTTCTCAGGATCCAGGAGAACCTGGGCCGTGGAGCAGGAAGAACAGAGGGCGGGATGAGAACTCAGACAAAGGAAGGCTTGAGCGTAGGGGGGGTCTTGAGCCACTTCCGGGTTCGTCAGCAGAAATTGCCGAGGTTGGTAAGGACAGTAAAATCAAAAGTCCCATTCTCGGGCCATCTGGACCCATTATCCAATTCATACTGAGGCCATGCGACGTTACAGAAATAAATGAGGCGTTTAGGATGTAGGTCCCCAGACAGGCCCAGTTTAGCCAGGTTGGTGAGCAGACACCCTAGAGGTGTGCTCAGATCAGGTTTGGAATTTCGATTACCCATGCTCGATGCCTGAGGCCAGTAGCTGGGGCCAAAGGGCCAGCATCCCAGCGGTTTGGCAGGGGCTACGGATGGACGGAGGAACTGGGGAGGATAGGTACGTCTCCGCTATCTTCCGGGGTCTGGAGGAGCCCTTCCTGGAAGGGTCCGGAGAACTGGGCAATCGCTGACGCAGCACACTTGAGGGACAGAGACGCCGGAGGGTGACCTCAGGGATCGACATGGGGCGAGGCTTACCGTAAACGTGGCTAAGCCGGGAAAGGCCGCCAAGCCAGGAAAGAGAGCTGCTAAGCCGAGGAAATGCGGTCCTGAGCCACGAGGAGGTTGAGGAGTCACCCGGGTTTCGAGGCACCAAATGTTAGATTCGTGATGCAGGAAAAGAGAATTGAGCCTGTCAGAAAAGGGAAAAGAGAAGGTTTTAATCTGCATTCTTGGGCGAGACCCACAAGCCCCAGAGACAGGGCCAGTGAGTTCGCGCCAACAGGGGGAAAGGGGGCTCCTTTTTTATACAGGTGTTTAATGAGGGGTGGGGGGCACGAGCTGAGGAAGTCCCCACCGTGGGGGTCAGCACAGTATTCAGCTGAGGAAGTTCCTGCCATGGGGATCGGCATGGTATTCGGGAAGGAGTCAGTATCTGTGTGGGGGTCGTTGTGGATTCCAGAGAGGAGCCGGTATCTATGTGGCCATGCGTCTGGCACGCTGACCTGTTAGGAATTCCAGGGAGGGACCATTATCTTCATAACCATTTGCCTTGCGGGGGCATGCATCCACTCCTGAGCTTCTCTTCGACCTAACAATGCCACAAAACCATTGTTTTTTTCCGGTCATTGAAGGAACTCCATCTATAGCTACAGAAGTTAATTATGAGAGTTGTAGATTGTATTTTTGCAGAAGTTTAGAAACACAATTAGAGATATCTTGTCCTGTACTAGTGTTATGCATCGGTACTAGTTCTAATAATTCCTTAAACATGTTGAAATCTGTGTCACAAGCACGAAGAAACACGGCTAATTGAGCTAAGCCTCCAGTGTCTGTACTCTTCTCACAGTCAATGGGAAAATCTTCGAAACTAGATGATTTTGTTTTGATCTGAATACTTAAGTTGTCCGCCAAATCAGTAACTCTTTCTGCAACTGTGTTTCGAGACAAAGATTGTTTGAAAAGAGTTCACATTTCCAGGACAAACAATTTCTGCAGCTTTAATTAGACATTCCTTGATGAAACCATCCTCAGTAAAAGGTTTCAAGGGTTTAGCTATCAACTTCGACAAGACGTAGCTTGCATGCACGGTTGCTTCACTTTCTGGTGATACTTTAGTAAACATGAACTGTTTTCTCAGTCCCAACTTGAGCTCTTTAACTTTCCTTGTCTCATTAATCCCTCGTAATTATCATATGTTGATTATTTTGTTCATAGTGATGACTAATGTTGTATAACTTTGATGTACTAATAGCATTATTACATATCAAGCTGACTATTTTATTTTTTACTTCACAGAAAAAATACTCCAATTCCCACTTTTCTTGGAAATTGTGATGTTCGTCAGCAATTTTTCGTTTATTTTTACTACCAGTTGATTTCGATAGACACATGCTGAATACAAAAGCTGAAATAAATGAGTAATGGTTAACATAGAATAACAGAACATTTTAATAAAAATTAATATTTTTTCTTGAACATTAACTTACCAGACACTGAATAACTGCACAAATTAATAAGCATAACGCAAATAAACCTATTTTTCTTGTTCCTCGAAAATGAAATATTTCCTGTTGCACACACCAAACAAGTCAGTCCAAGACTAATGACCTGGCCATCAGCTGCTAAAATATTTGCTGCTAGTACTAGTGGAGAGAAATGGTGCACCTGCATGTAAGGCATGTAAGGGAAATGAATGCAGCACGATTATAGTAATCAGTCATTAGCGAACCTTGTAG